AATGAAATCCCAGACGGGTTGGGGTTGGAAGGGACCTAAAAGATCACCCAGTTCCAACCGCCCTGCCATGGCACCAGCCCATTACCCACTGGAAATCACCAGCTGAGCTGGTAGAAACCCCCCCAGATGCTCCAGGCAAGCATTTCCCTTTTCCTTTGCCCCACAGCCACCCCTGGGGACCTGACTATGGCCATGGGGTCCCTCACACCCCGACAGCTGCCCAGGAGATGCAGGACAAGGATGTGTTTCCCAGCATTGAGCAGCTGCCAAACAAATTTTAAAAGGCAAAGACTCATTAGCAGTGATGAACTGCTCAGGAATCTGGAACTTTCCCTTTTAAATAGCAGCCAATGTCATCAAAGCAGGTCGGGAAGAAGTGACTTTGCGTGGGAGACAGTTACATGTCACCTTACAGCCACTAATGGGCTCTTCCCCTTCCGAGTGGCTGCTTTTTGTTTAACACAGGATGGCTGTCTCATTAAGCCTCTGTGAATGCAAATAAAAAATGCTAATGAACAAATAAAGCTTTGAGATAGGGAGGGGAGGGGAGCGGGGGGAGGCGAGTGGGGTGAGCGAGGCTTTTCCTGCTGCCACCATCTCTCAGACACGGGTGATGTGTCGTCCTTGGGGTTGTTTTCCATTTTTACATGGAATAACTGTAAATAACTCTAATAACTGTAAATAACTGTAATAACTGGTGATGGTGGCACAAAGGGAGGCGTTTTCACAGAATGTTGGGGATTGGAAGGGACCTCGAAAGATCATCTAGTCCAAATACTGCTTTACCCAGTAAGCAGCGTTCATTTCATTAATGGAGTTTCTACCCTTAGCACTGCTCTAATCACATTTCCGTTTATCCCAGTTAGTCCATTTTATCTAATTAAAGTCCTCGCCCTGGGAAATTAAAGTCCTCGCCCGTGAGGTCCAGGTACAGTGGGGCACTGAGAGCCCAGGCTGATGGGGGAGGCTGAGAAAGAACCAACTCGTGTCTCCCACTCTGGGGTCTGCTCTCTCCATAGAATCATAGAATCCCAGACTGGTTTGGGTTGGAAGGGACCTTAAAGGTCATCCAGTCCCAACCCCCCTGCCAGCAGCAGGGACACCTTCCACTAGACCACGTTGCTCAAAGCCCCATCCAACCTGGCCTTCAACACTTCCAGGGAGGAGCAGCCACAGCTTCTCTGGGCAACCTGTTCCAGTGTCTGACCACCCTCACAGTGAAAAACTTCTTCCTAATATCTCATCTAAACCTCCCCTCTTTCAGTTTAAACCAATTTCCCCTTGTTTTGTCATTAACTGCCCTTATGAAAAGTCCTTCCCCAGCTTTCTGGTAGCCCCTTCAGGTATTGGAAGGCCACTATAAGATCTCCCCAGGGGGAGCTGCTGCCAGGCTCCTCCTCTCTCTGTGGCTTCGTAGGGAGACTAAACTTAAAAAAAAAATCTCATTAAAGGTTTCTTTGCTATGGTGGTGGGGACACTGGTCAAGCCAGATTCGACACAGGTGGCAGATGCAGCTGCTTTTTCCAAGTCAAGTGCAAATTCCCTGCATTTCCCCGTGCCCAGGTTGGTGTCTGGAATATTTTTTACTAGTAGCTTTTATACGAATTT